AAAAAAAAAAAAAATCACCTTGTCGAAAAGAAATGTATTATTGGACCAATTTATTGCCATACGATACTAAACAATTTTGTAACAAATTTTAACTTGTATTTTTTTTTTTAACAATCACGTGAGGACTGACAGGGGGGGGCTGTGATCAGTGATCAGCACCACTGAATAATTAACAATGTACTTGCACAGCCAGAATTTTAACACAGCCCATTAAAAAGTCACCTTATTAAGTAAATTACCTTTTTTGGTTGGTTTGAAATCACATCGGAAATTTTATTTTACTTAGCCATATACTCTTATACGTAAATCATGAAATCATTCTAAGCCCTATGCAAATATGAGGTACGGTTGATCTCGTAACAGAAAATGACGTTCAAATCGATATCGCGTTTCTGATTTATATTTATTCCGCGGTTTTAAAAAGAAAATTTTCATGAGCATAGCCCAAAAAGGTGCCGAAAATAGTGTACAAAAGAAAAAAATAAAGTTCTATTTAATAATGAATTAAACCGCGAGAATGAAAAAAAAAAAATCATCATATTAATTAATTTTTTATAAAATTGAATCAAAGTATTACGTTACACGATTTTTTTTTTTTTTGTATTGTTCTACAAAAATTATCCCTTCGATATTCCTTCGAAGATTGTTATAAATATATATTATTCCAATTTTGATCTTTTTGTTACAATATTAATTCTACATAAAGAAAACAGGAGAAAAAAAAAAAAAATTAAAAATAAAAAAAATAGAATATTACAATTTGTAATTTTAAATAGTAAATATTATGAAAAGTCTCTCAAAAAGAATTTTTCTGTAACGCGTGCGCTTCATTTATGTACGACCGAACTATAATTTCAAATAAATACTCATTAATATATATATATATATATTAAATAATTTTTATAATATGTATATAATATAAATATATATAATATATAATATATACATATTATAAAAATTATTTTATATTTTTAAATCATAAATTTTTTTTTTTCGATTGATTTCGATTGACAAAAATTTTTCAATTGTTTTCCGTAATGTGTTCGTACATCGAGTATTATATAATTTCTATCCCAAAAAAGGTAATACCCAATTAAAATCTAAGTTGTTTAGTGTTTCAATCGGAGTTCCGGATAAACTTTGTATTACAACACTATATATACACATATAATCTATTAATGCAAATGGTATTTTAGTATTCAGGATTAATTTAGATTCAAACTCTAAAAAAATTCTGATCACAAAAGATTTTGACCAATTGAAAAAAGAATGTCATTTAAATAAATAAATAAATATAATATATAAAAAAAAAAAAACTTGTTTCTTGTTTTCTTTCGTTAAAAATAAATAGAGAACAAATATGTAAATTTAACAATGAAATGACTTTTATGTAAATTAATTTATCAAAAAATAGTTAGAATTTTTATTTATAATGAATATTCATTAGAAAAAAATTTTTTTTTATATGTAAAGAAAGAATGTTAAAGTAACGGGAAACACCGATATTACAAATTGTTTAATAATAAAAACGAACCACAATCTTAAAACGCGTACCTGTTTTATATAATATATCTTATAAAGAATATGAAGATTACTCATAATTACCATAATTACAATATTTATGAATGGGTAATAATTACTAAACAATTACAAAATCCAAAAATCCCTTTGTATTTCAATAAACAAATATATGCTGCTATTAGTTCATATTAGTTAAAAAAATTTCTAATTATTTTATAATTATGGTTTCATTCAAAAAAGTAAAAGACGCAGTTTAAAATTTATTCTCGATTTAAATAAATATTCGGAGATAAATAATTTGAATGGATTCTAAACATTCTAAACTTAATTGGGGATTCTTTATCCTGTTTAATCTATTTATCCTATTTAATCTATTTATCCTATTCAATCTATTCATCCTATTCATCCTATTTATCTTATTTATCCTAGAATAAATTTATTGGATCCCGGTATATTTAGCTTTTAAAGGGTAAATTGTTTCAAACTTTAATTTTCTTCAAGTATAATGAAGGGAACTCCCGTCATCCTATAATAATAATGATTAACGAATTTGTCGAATAAAGATTATTTCTTTTTAACCGTGCACCTCATTGACCCTTTAAAACCGTACGCCTCATTGATTTTTTTTGCGTTGGGTGATTGATCCCTTTCGTCAAATTTGATTAATGTTTGACAACCCTGATGGCCCTAACAACGCCTGATTAAACCTATTGAATCAATCTTTAACCGATTAACCGATTTAAAAATATTAAACCGATTGAACCGTGCGTTGATTTATACTTTTTAAAGGGACATTGGTTCACCTTAACGGAGTTTGATTTCCGAATAACTTTATATTTTTTATTAATGCGTAAAAAAAAAAAAATCATTCAATGAAAATAAAAAGATGATTGGAAAATTTTAAAACTTGATAAAAAAAATGATAAAAAGATGGATTTTTAAACAGTACTACAATGAAACCAAATTACTGGACGATTGATTACTGGCAATTATCGGATCATTAACAGACAAAATTGGTAATATGAAATTGGTACAAGTTTACACGAAACTCCAAAAATTTATTTTATTGATGCGTGAATGAAATTGAATACGTTAAGAGGGACGTATTATTAATTGAATCAATTAAGAAAATCTATATTATTAATCATAAACTATTCCATTATAAAAAGGAAGTTTAAAAAACAAAAATAACGTGGTCTAGACCAAAGAATCCTGTACAACAAGTAAAAAAAAACCCTAATACCGAGTACCAAGAGATAGGGTTTATACTTTTACAAACAAATATCCTATTTTTAGTACCTAGTACCTAGTATCTAGTACCATTTTTAAATAAAAATGAATTTGAATATTTGAATATTTGATACAATGATTGATTTCTTTAAAAAAAAAAATTTTTTTTTCTTTTATTTTTCTTTTTTATTCTTTATTTTTTATTTATTTATTTATTATTTATTTATTTATTTACTTTTTTTTTTTTTTTTTTTTTTTTTTTTTTTTTTTTTTTTTTTTTTTTTTTTTTTTTTTTTTTT